TTGTTTTCTTTTTCATTTTTCTCACTTTTGTTATCATTTCTCCCCGTTTTCTAAGAAAAAAATATCAATTTGTAGTTTAAAACATTTTTGGAACATTTTTCTCTTTTCTTTTTCATTCGATTTTTTTTAATGAAAAATGTCAATTTGTAATTAAATTTTATAAAACAAGACTAATTTATAATTAAAATTTTAATATATTGATTGTTTGTTTTTCTTTATGAAGGTTTGACATAATGAATATATATTGTTCGTAATTAACTATAAATGACTATAAACTCTATGGAATTCCTTCATTTTTAGAAAAAAATAATTATAAAAATCTTTAAAACTTACAATTGAATACACTCCTTAGTATACCGATGAGGGACCCCTAGGAGAGCCGCTGACTTCAAGTACCGTCCATGTATGATCCATACTAGATCTAACAAACTGTCTGAGTTGTAGCCGAAAAATTTATTGTAAGAAACAAAGTTATTAATTTATCGAACATTCATTTATTGAGATTTTACATTAAAACATCTCATATTAATAACCAAAGCAAAGATATTTAACTATGTTTGATTTAACTAAAAATTAGATTTTTAATAGATGTTGATAAAAGTTGATGCAATTTATAGTTAAAAATCTAATAAAAGTTGTGAGTATCTTAAAATGTGTGGTTGAAAATTAATTTGAGAGAAAAATGAGTTTTAGAAAATGAAGGTCAAACGTGGATTTAATAGAAATCTTGATTTCTAGCTAAAATTAAGTGATAAACTTGAAATATAATCAATTTTGGTGGTGACTTCAATGAGTAATTATGGTTTATTCTATTTAATTATTAATTTTTTTTTGGGTTTTCCATTTTTGCCCTATTATGAATTTTCTGAAAGTCTTTTCAGATTATAGATATGGATATAATTTGCATATCTTCTATATATTAAAAGTGGCTATGTAACGGAATTTCTTTTTTTTTTTTCTAACTGAAAAACTAACGGAATTTGTTATTTTAACGGATTATGTAACGAAATTTCTTATTTTAAATACGCAGTTGCACCTTCTTTCAGTGTTTTTATCATAACTTTGTATTCCGATATCCAATTGAGGTGATTCAAAATGCGTTGGAAAGCTAACTCATTTGGATACAACTTTGATTCAGACATCATTCTCCAATTCGATCACTTTCTATGCCAAAAATAGGTCTCAATATAACGGACTATGTAACGAAATTTCTTGTTTTAAACAGGCAGCTGCACATTTTTTCAGTGT